TTCCCCCCCGCCCCCATTCTTGATCTGGATCTGCCCACCCCCTTCCCTTCCCTTCCCTTCCCTTCCCTTCCCTTCCCTTCCCTTCCCTTCTACCTACCCCATCCCTTCCCCTACATACACTTACCTGCTGGTGTGTGTGTGTATGTGTATGTATGTGTGTGTCTGTGTTTGTGTTAGGGGTGCTGTGGGGGGCCTTTAATTTTAATCAAGGATTTTTGGGTTTTTATCAGAGAACTTGCCATTTTTTATCAGAAAATTTGTGATTTTTTTTTATCAGGAAAAACCAGGATCCCTACTCATTAGATACCATATTTAGGCCAATCGCCATGAGAAGGGGAAAGAAGACCACTCTGAGGGGAGCGGGGAGTGACCAACTTAATAAGAACAGGTTGCAGCATCACCACTGCTGGGTCTGTGGTGTAAATATCATAGTAGAGGGGGCAAAGTACAGCACTTGAAGCCATTTCTTAGTGACTTGATCAATAGGGATGGGGACACTGTTAAGCCAGTGAGCTCAGACCTTGGAGCCAGCACCTAAACACAGCCAACCAAAGACAAGTTTTTGGTGAGAGAAGCATCCAGCTCTTTTTCTTGCATTGGAAGGGAATGCAGATTCTTTCAGGCCCTGAAAACCTCTTGAAATCCATGGACGGATTCCCACTGATATCCCATCATTACCTGGGAAGGACTCCAATTGACATCCCAGTGATGCCTGGGAAGGACTCCCATCGATATCCCAATGTTGCCTTGGAAGGACCCCTGCTGATATCCCACTGTTGCCTCCCAACTCCCAGTGTTGTCTGTACAAGTTTTGGAGAAGGAGTAGGGATAAAAAGGGGAAATATGTGGGGGGAATGTAGAGGTCTTTCGTAAAATGAAGAATAGCCCTCAACTGGATGCTGGTTCCAGCCAGTCCCACAGATGAACTGATCTAGAATGGACATCTCTATACTGTGGAGGCAGTTAAAGGCCATGAGGTATGTGACAGGTATCCCGGTTGTAGCTGCATTGGTCTAGAGGCAAAAGGAATCAGGACTCATTATAGAGGTGATATCTTTTTATTGGAGCACTCATGATAGAGGTGATATCTTTTTATTGGAGCGACTAGATTTTTGCAAAAAAAAGGGTTTAATTGCAACCTTTTGAGCACAAGCACCCTTCTTCAGGCATAGGGGAAAAGATTGGAAAAATTCTCCCAGGTAGAAATGAAAGTTGATATTTCATAGGAGAGTTGAAGGCGTGGTAAAATCTCCTGTTTGGTACAGTGCATTTTATACAGGTTAGGCTCAGAGAAAAGTTAGAATAGTTGGTTTACCTTGAAGTTGTTTGGTGGCAAGCAGGATGTGGTCATATTTCCTTCTGGTTATGATGTTTGATATTTCACAGAAGAGAAAAAGGATGGGATGCTCTTCTGGGCCGTAATTTGTTACGTGGTGAGGTGTCTCTGGGCTCTGTGATGGTGTAAATTACCTTGAGTTCTGATTCCTTTTGACCAGGGGTGGGCAAAATGTGGCCCGCGAGCCAGATGTGGCCCACCAAGCCATTCTATCCAGCCCGCGGGGCCCCTAAAGAAATTAGAAAATTAATAGTCATCTGCCCTGGGCTGCCTGTTGTGTGGCCCTCGATGGCTTGCCAAAACTCAGTAAGTGGCCTTCCGCCCAAAATAATTGCCCACCCCTGCTTTTGACTCTAGACCGACATGGCTACAACTTGGATACCTAGCACGTGGACGATATTGAATTTTAGCCGATTTTTTAAAATGAAATCTCCACAATTTTACAAGGAAGAAGCAAACTTTACCATCTGAAACCTGAGATCCTGCTCCTCTCTTTGTTCAAGGTAATCCTACATGTAATCTCCACCTCCTCCTGGCTTTTAAAGTTTGTTACTGATTTGTGAGATGTGACAAAAGATGATGTGTCCCTGAAGAGGAGCAGAACTGGTTGCCTCTGCAACTGAGCCAACTTGTTTACCCTCCAAAAAGCAGAAGAGTGAAAAAGGATACACCTGCAGCTGAATTTATTTTACAGGTAAGACACTTAAAACCTGGAGTCTTTGTGGCTGAGCAGTTCATCAACAGGGAGCCAAATATATGGTGTGAACAAACCTTGCAGCAATTGACTGCATTGCATGAGAGTTGAAAGGGGAAGTTCAGGCAAGTCAGTATAAGAGAGAAGTGAGAACATAAGGCAGCTAGTCCACAAGCTTGCAGGAGATAACTTGAGAACTTGACCTGTCAGTGCTCCATGTAATAGAGGCTCCTGTTGCTGAAAGCTGGGCAAACATAGTAGGCGGTGCAGGCAGGTCGGCAGCTGAGACAGGGGCTGCATGCTGCAATAGGGAAGACCAAGCTGCTCATTAGACCTAAAGGTGAGCATCTGTATGGGCTAGTAAGTCACCTGACTCAGATAGGGCAGCATCCTGGGGTAGATAGAAAAGCCAAATGCCTTGGAGCAGAAAGGGGAGTGAGGGGGATCATTTTGCAGGGAATTGAGGTCTCCAGAGAGGGTGGCTGCACGAGAACCCCTTGCAGGCACCAAAGCACTCTGAAAGCAAAGCCATGATTTGTGGATTTGTGTTCACTAAATAAATATAAAGAGTAGACTGGACTCCTTTGGGGTAGGCTCCCAACTTTTTTTCCTTTTACAACATCAACATATGGCAGGCGAGCAGTCGGGAAGGGTACCCCGAGGGACTGGAGGAGGCAGGAGTCATGCATCTGCTGGAGGGTGCTACAGTGACTCTGGGCACAGGTCCTGTCACACCTCAGTACCGGATGGCAAATATTTATATGAATGAGTTTTGCAACGCTGAGGTACTTACAACTCATTTTTTCATAGGTTCTGAGCAGATCCTGTAAGTATATTGACCCTTTCAGCGTCTTTTATAATTGTAACCCTGTTGGCTGAAGAAAACTGGCTTTGGGGAATTGGCTAGAAGCAAAGACTCCAGACAACACAGCTGGAGACCCTTCTATCAGTCTCCTTTACTTTTCCTGAACATAAAATATAGCTCCTTTACTGAAGCCACAAGCAATACAGGCATTTTCTGATCCTCATAATGAGTGACTTCAGAGATTTTAGCAATCAGAACTCTTGGTAGAGGTGATATCTTTTATTACACCAACTCGATTGTTGCAAAAAAAATGTTATTTATTTGCAAGCTTTTGGGCACATGAGCCCTTCCTCGGGCACCTTTACAAAGATTGTAAAGATTGTCTCCCAGGTGGAAATGAAAATTCCTATTTTTCAGGAGACCTGAAAGGTAGTGTAAGATCTCCTGGTTGGAAAAGTTCATTTTATGCAAGGGGCAGAGAAAGGTTGGAGCAGCCTATTGACCTCACAGCTGTCTGATGGTAAGCAGGGCATTGAATGTTGCTTCTTTCTTGTTATGATGTTTCATACTTCACAGGAGGATGGGTGATGGAAGGCTTTCCCGGGCAAAGAATTTCTCTTGTGCTGAGGCTGCTCTATGAGCATGCAAATTTGGCTTGAGACCGAAGGCTGGAGCAGGGGTGTCAGTTTTCCAGATTTCAAGGTGTTGAATTTTGCTTCCTTCTTGTAAAATTATGAAGTTTTCAGTTCAAAGCGCCTAATTTTTATATCTTCCATGTTTCAGGGATACAGGTTGTAGCCGTGTTGGTCTGCAGGCAAAAGCAATCGGAACTCTTGGCAGAGGTGATATCTTTTATTAGAGAATTTATTAGGGAATTTTATACATTTGTTACTCTTGGCTTACATTCTGGGCATTTCCTTCCCTTTTAAATACGTCTATCTGATTTGATGTCAGTTTTAGAGCAATGGGAAAATCAAGGAGGAGAAACTTCTATTCTATTTCTATAATTTATTAACAGAGTTTCATACCATATCCACTTCTTACCTGGGCATTTAGGGAGAATGTTACGTTCAGATCCCTGAGAGTCCTGCTGGGTCAACAGTGACAGTGAATGACTGTAACAGTCATTCATTATATTGCACTCTGTATTGGCTGATATTTAGTGAGTCAAACTCTCTAGACCTTACATGAAAATATCCAAGTGTGTATACGTCTCAAACTCACTACAGGCCACTTGGTTCATTCCCACTAGCCACTGGCTTCCTTATGGTGTTACTCATCAAATACTGTAATTTTAAGCAGTTGCCTCTTGCTAAAGCTCTCTACCCAGATAGATGTTGGGCTAGTCAGCTAGCTTGCTCCCCTTGACTGGATCTTCAGCTACAGGTGGCTTGCTCATTTTTCATCCTTTCTGCAGTGGGAAGCTGGAGGTCCTCGTCTTTTTTGGGATTCTTGAAGTCTGGGTGATGAAGTTGGGAGCTTTCCTTAGCTCTGGGTGGACTGGGTTTCCAGGGGCTAGAGTTCCTACATCTTTCAGGAGCAACAGGGCAGATGGAGATAGCCATGCTCTTCTAGGTGAGCTTGTAAATCAGCCTTCTTCTCATAGATTGATTTTGAGGGACAGGATCTGCTGGCTTCCTCTGAAAACTGAATGGGGAATAGGAAGAGTTAGTGCATCTGAGCCTCCCAGCTCAACCTCGTGTTCTGCTATGGATGCCTGCTGTGGACATGGTCTACAGCTGGGAAATCAACCCGGATGATGATGATGGCTGGAAAAAACCCCCACTCCAGCCAGTTCCACCAAAGGGAGAGAAATGGAGATACAAAAGAGAAAAATCCCAGGGAGCTCTCAGCTGGTAGCACTGAGTCTAATCTGCTTCTAGTTCATGACGCCTACTGTTTCCTAGTCTCTTGGAGCCACAGCTCCTATCACTTGTAACACGAGAATGATCCTATTCCTATTTTTGCTCTCTCCTATTGAGATTGTAAGTCCTTCTGAGCAGGAAGTCTGTATTAAACGTATGCATGAAGTACTCGGCACAGTAGGGACCTCCAAACCGGACTGTAGAATGACAGCAGCAGCACCAAACTAACATTGACGCAGCTGGAGAATATACATTAGGGTTAATTCATTTTTAAGATTTATTCTCAATGTGGTAGGCTGTGCTAAGCTATTCAGGCACTTCACAGGGCCTGATTTTATAAGGGGCTTGCCAGTTGAATTAGGTAGTGAGCAAAGGAACCGTAACACAACGACTGGGGTGACATGCACTTAGAACATAACCATTTCTTTTCCAGCTTTTTTTGCAGGCACCATGAACATCCAGGAATATTTCACCAGAATTTCTTACAAAGGCCCCAGTGAAAACCTGGACTTGGAGACCTTAACTGCAATCCTCCAGCACCACATCCGGGCTGTGCCCTTTGAAAAACCTCAGCATCCACTGCGGGGAAACCATTGCGCTGGAGTTAGAGGCAGTGTATAACAAAATAGTGAGGAGGAATCGTGGTGGCTGGTGCTTGGAAAGTAACCAGCTGTTGTTCTGGGCTCTGAAAACACTGGGATTTAATGTCACTCTTTTGGGAGGAAAAGTGTACGACCCAGATGACAAGGCATATGCTGATCATCTGAATCACCTTCTGTTAAAAGTGGCCCTTGCTGACAAATCCTACATTATGGATGGCGGGTTTGGGGCAGTCTATCAAATGTGGGAGCCCATGGAGCTGATTTCTGGGAAAGACCAGCCTCAGACTCCTGGCACCTTTCGCTTTCTGGAAGAGAAGGGGACCTGGCACCTGGAGAAGAGAAAAAGGCTGGCATACTTTCCCAGCCATGGCCACTCGAAGGTTCATCTGCTGCAAACAAATGACTACAGTAAGGTTTACATCTTTACCCTTGAGCCACGAGAGATAGAAGATTTCAGGGCCTTGAATGTGGATGGCCAGACATCTCCAGATTTTGTGTTGGTACGAAAGTCCATCTGCAGCCTCCAGACTGCCAGCGGGATGCGGTCCTTAATTGGGTGGAGATATACTGAGATAAAATACAACTACAGGGAGAACATGGATCTGGTAGTAGCCACAATTCTTCCCGACGAAGAGGTGGAGAAGACACTGAAAGACAAATTCAATATTACTCTAGATAAGAAACTTCAACCAGTGAATAAAGGCAAGTCATCTGTATTTCACCACTTGGCCAGACTCTAATCCCACGGGGTAACATCGGACAGAATCTCTCTCAGCATCCGGTTGATTTCAAATCACCTAAGGCCTATGTTATCACTGTTCATCGTGGGTAATGAGAAGGATGGCACATAGTCATGCCACTGTAGGAAAGAAATGTTGATTCTCACAGCTCCACTTCCTTCCACACTTCTTCCTTTGCTCCAGATGTGTATACCAGTCACAATTTGCTTCCTACTTGGGCCAAGCTTGGCTGCACTGGCTGTTGCGCTGGGAACTGAAGGCAAGTCTTTGCCTATTCTCTGCTTCTCCTTCCATACAACTGCCCAAGGAATATCAATGCAGAAAGACGATGCAAGCCCCCGCTACGCTTGAATGATAGGGCACAGTGTTTCTTAAATCTGCTGGTTCCCACCTGTGGCTCTGCATCAACACATTGCGCATCAGGGATTTAGACCCAGCACATGGCCAAACTAAAACATTAATTTACTGCCACGTTTGCAGTCTGAAAAGCAGACAGCTAATGGGACGTTTATTGACCTGCTACTGAGTCTTGACACAGCCTCCAGGCTCTTCATGGCCTGAGCATGTAGGGACCAATTTTGATGGAAATGACAGCATTTATAAAAAATATAAATTAAGCCTGCTTTTTAAAACCATTTTCACTGATGGAATTAACTCAGATTTTCCCCGGTTAAAAGACAATTAATTTTCATTAGTCAATATATTTTTCAAAATTGTTTGTTTCGTGAGAAATATTTTAGGATTACCTGCCTTTTAAAATAAGATTGCTGCTCCATTGTTGCTGTGGTGGGTACATTTCATCTGAATCATCAGCCATTGTATATATTGCTTTTAAACTGGGGTCACTGTCTTGCAAAACCTCACTTGTGAACGGTCAATACATAAGTCAATGGAGTTACTTTCCTGTATAAGGAGAACCAATGTTTGCTGTTTTAATTGATCTGCCATTCAGAGATGTTACAAGTGAAAATCCAGGGAGTAAAATCGTTCTTTTTAATCAATTTAAAAAAGAACGTCCAGCTAAATCTTTGCACTAAAATCGACCAGAGTATCAGCTTTCTTTCACCTGGGACCTTTATCAGGAGACTCCTTCCCTTAAGGGGATATGAATCCCATAGCTAATAGGTATTATGCCTTATTACTACAGTCTGTGGTGTCATTTGAAAGACACAACTGACATATCAAGCTGTCGTCATTTTAATGTGGTTAAAGAAACAAATGTGAAATATTGCCTCTCGGCAGAATAATGTTTCCTCTCCTATGACCGGACCAAGAGCTTAGCTGTTCCAATAGGTTTGTCCCAAAGTCCAATTAGCAATGCCCCATTACACATAATATCCTAAGGGGATTAGTCAGGGGATCTCAAACAGTTCCTCCAGTAGATACAGATTTATCTCAATCCTTACAACATCTCTGCAGGAAGGGAAGTGCCGCTACTCCTAATTTACAGCTGGCACATTGAGGTGGAGAAAGACCAAAGTTCCCAGCACTCAAAGGCTCCCCACAAAGGTGGTACAGTCGTCTACCCTGGCGATCTTCAAAAAGCATCTTGATGCCCATCTTGCTGGGGTCATCTGGCGGTCTTTCCTGCCCAAGTGTAGGGGGCTGGACGTGACGATCTGTAAGGTCTCTTCCAGCCCCTAACATCTATGAAACTATGACAGGCATTTATGGTTCCATAGTGACTGCAGACAGGGCAATAGGAGCGGGATTACTTGTGCAGAACCACTGGATCCTTTGGTCACATTCCCAAACACAGGCCCAGGGAACCAGCCAAAAGTGCCTGACAGCGGTCCTATCTCAAGGAGCTCCTTGCTCCATCTGTCACGCTCACTGCAGCCTGTCGCCTGCTTTTTGCTTCACATGACTTCAGCAGGCAGAATCCTAAATCCTAAATTAAGTGGTTGCTAATTGCTGTCCCACAGTCCTTTCCATTTTATTTACCAGTAGGTCGTCTTCTACTCTTGGCCTGACAGAGAACAAATGTTCCCTCCCTGTTCAAAAGGCAATCAGGACTCACAGTAGAGATGATACCTTTTATTAGCCCAACATGATTTCTGCAAAAAATGTCTTTAGTTGCAAAAATCTTGTTGGTCTAATAAAAGATATCATCTCTACTACAAGTCCTGACTGCCTCTTCCTCTAGACCAATACGGCTTCAACCTGGATACCCCCCAGTTCATAAGTTCTGCCATGTGGTCAGGCTCTTACTTTTTGGGCTTGGACACTCCAGGAATCAATATGTTGGAATTTCATCTACGGTGTCCCCAGTTAATGTTTTGTCATGCTTGCTTGTTATGCCACAAGACCTCTTCTGAAGTCACAGAGCTTATTCTCCAGTGCGATGAAGTGAAGTTGTAGGACCCCCATCCTTAGTAACAGGCTCAGGAACCAGATCTAGAGCTATCGCTGATGTGAGGGCTGTGGACGTTGCAATCTGCAGGTCCCAGACACTTGAGGACACTGGTGTTCACCCCCACAAAACATCTGGTGACCCTGAGGGTACAGAGGGAAAAGAACAGAGCAGCAGATGTTCCTGGAGCACGTAGATGCATTCGTGATGTGCGCAAGGGTTGCTTAGGAGTGAAGAGAGTTTCTAAAGCAGGACAAGGAGAAAGAAGGGTATCTCTGTCACAAGGGAGTTGGCAGGAAAGGGATTTGATCTGATTCTGAAGCTGGCAGGATCTGCAAGAGTGCACCAAAGCACAATCGGTTCCCCAAACTGTTTCAAATTCAAGGCCCTCGGCACTGCTACTTCTTATCAGACACAGAACAGCTTGTGGTGCAAATCCCACTTCCTGAGCCTCCTAAATCATGTGTTAGGCTCTTGCTGTAGCAGTACACCTGAATGCTCTCGGCTGACCCTGGAGAGAAGTGTCTGCTCCCTGCAGCTGTAAGCCCTTGCTCAGGATTTTAATGCTAAATCCTTTTATGTTAAACTAAGTCTCTTCACCACCACCACCTTTGTTTGCCTACTTCAGGATGTTTGGGAAGCTCATATTTACCCACTTTTAGTGTGAAAACAGAACAGGCGGTGGACAGACAAATGAGACTATTTGATTTTGCTCAGAATGAAGTTTCATTTCCCTCTGTCTTGCCTACATTTACAGGCAAGGGACTTTGTCTGTCTCACATATAGCCCAGGAGCCAGTCTTAGCCTGTATTGCCCGGGTTTAAACCAAAGGTCTCAAATCCACAAGATCCCAGAAACCATAAACAGCACATGACTAAAATGGCCAGAGAGCCAACTTGTGTCTACTATGTGGTAAGCAATGAACAAGTGCAAGACTTAAGATTCAGGAGAGCAGCTGAAGTGGGCACAGCAAACCCTGCAGATCCATCACACAGAGATTTCCAAGCAGTTGATAGCTACATTGTCTTCAAACATACAAAGCCCTTCGGGCAAGAACCCACAAGCTCTACATAGAAACCTTTAAGATCTTTCCTAAAGGTCTCCTGGACCACGTGCTTCTGATGGTTGTCATTGGGAGCTAGCATCTCACGGGCTGCTCACATCCTGCGAATCTCTCTACCTCTGCCTCTCTACCCTTGGGGAGTTGCTTTCTCTTGTTCACATAGATCTTTTGCAGAACATAGCATGCAGTCATAATATAAACTTAGGTATTCATCTCCTGCCTTAAGTTGCCTACTAAGAGCCCACCATCTGACTACCCATCTCTCAAATGCATACTGCACTGTCAGACAGTGACAGGTCTTTGCTGTGTACCAAAAGTCCAGTGAAAAGCTACATTGCCCACAGCTAGAAAGAGCATGCAGGATCTCCCAACTTAAGAGGATACCATCCACAACAGCCATGCTGTTTGCCCTGCTGGGATACCAAACTTTCATAACAAGGGAAAACAGAGAAGAGCTCCTGAAAGTCTGAAATTGTGAACTTTTCTAAACCAACCTGCACTGACGGTAGGTAATCCATCACAGTGGTCAATGTGGAGCCAGACAGAGAGACCCCCATTCTTGTTATGACCTCTAAAACCCACATAAGTGAAATCAGAGAGCACTGTGCATGAAGAATCAGCAATAATCTAAGGATGGGCAAGTCCCGTTTCCTTTCGTGCATGATCAATGGTGCTCCAGCCCCTTAGTCAATCTGCCCACACCACATTTGTTCGCGACTGATCAATAGAAGTTGGTGGTGGTGATGAATCACGGCTGCAGCTGGGGATTCACCCAACTTCTAGCAAGTTTGCTTGCAGGAAGCTGACCTGACCAAACACAGCCTTTAAAACACAAGGGGAGGCAGGACAGGTCTCCCGATGAGCATATGGGCTGTCCTGACCTTTGTGGGTAGGCATATATGACGCCATTGCAAAGGATTCACTAGAACAGGGATCTGGTGTTGTAGCTCAACTAGGAGGAAGCCAAAGAAAGACCCAACATAATCATTTCCTTGAATAATCCCCTAGGCCACACTTTTCCCAGTCCAGGAGAGGAAGGAATGAGGGAATCCCATCAGGCCTGGCACCACGAGAACAACACTGCTGTGTGACAGATGCTAGAAATATAGATCCAGATGTTGTGTGCAGCCAAAATTACAAATGAAGCATGTACGTCTTTAGAGAGGCCAATGAATAGAAAGCATAAGAGAGTTCAGGCACCTTGAGAATGTACCTATGCCCAGCAACACCTATGTGGGTGAAGGCAATGCTCACAACTTGACTTTCAGGGGGTGTTCATGCAAGTATTCACCTCCTGTTTCCAGACGCTGAGGGGAACGTAAAGACAATCTGGCCCTTGAAGGATGCTGGGTTGAGCCCTGGAAAACAAAATGATCCAGTCTGAGTGCTCATGATGAGTGATATTCCCCCATTGGCAAGGCATGAGTCCAAGGGACTGAAACAAGGAGAGCTTTTCTGGGGAGAGAGGAAAGGGGGTTGATAAACTAGGGAAAGCCAAGCTAATGAAAGCAGCAACATTACAGGAGACTCCCACCTCCCTTGGGATCTTGGCAATAGTCCTGAGCCCTCCTCTCCCAGCTGTGGCTCTCTCAGCGCTCCCCACCTGCCCTGCCATTATACACTCCACTCCCACTTCATTGTCCAGGGTTGGAGGAGTGCACGTTTCGTGTGGGTCAATCTCTCAGCCCTCGTTGGAGCCCCTCATCAGGGTGGATATTCTGCAACTTCAGCCCAGCCTGTCGCCTCCCTCCCCGCTGCCCCTTTCTATCCCTACTCCTTCTCCAAACCTTGTCCAGGTAACTCTGATGTCGGTGGGAGTCCTTCCATGGATTCAAAGGGGGTTGTTTCAGGGCTTTAAAGAACCTGCCTTCCCTTCCAGTGCAAGGGGAAGAGCTGGATGCTTCTTACACCAACAACTTCGCTTTGGTTGCTTGTCTGTAGAAGCAGTACAAGGTGCTGGCTCCAAGGTCTGAGCCCACCGGCTTTGCAGGGTCCGCAGCCCTGATGCTCAGGTCATTAAAGAATGGGTTCAGGGGATGCATGTTGACCCCCCACCAGAGCTCCAGCATTGCAAACCCAGGGGTGATGGTGCTGCTCTCTGATCTCATTGTGTTGGGCCGTCCTTCTGCTCAGTGTGGTAGTCCTTCCAGGAGTGATTGGCCTATGTATAATGGTTAATGAGCCTGCTACAGAGCTGGCAAACAGGGATGTGTGTTTTATCTCCAGCAGGTCACCACAGACTTCCAGAACTACAAGACCCAGTTTCTATCCCTGGTCACATTGGCGAAGTCTGAATCGCCAGCTGGAAGTTGAAACCGTGCCATTTGGTCGGTGACAATGGTTGGTTTCAATCATGCATTTGTGGAAGGCACAAGACTTTGATTGCCAAAGAGATTGTTTGGGGTGGGGCAGGGATGTGGGACTGAATTTGTGGCTGTCCCCGCAATGCAACACTGGGATTGGAAGGGGGATATTTGGAATTAAACCTGTTTGGGCATTCAAATAGCATTGCAGGTCTTAGTGCTGTTTATACCCCTGGGAGAGCATCAGGTTACAGCAAGCTTCCCTTTTTGAACAATGCTTCTCCTGTGTCTTAATCTGGTTTGGTGTACAAGGTGAAACAGGAAGAAGAAAGGCATGGAAGCAGCAGTATAAGACAAATATCCAGGTGGCCAAACTCAGAGCTGAAGACTGCACAGTGAAGAAATGGAATAATTTATTTTCTATGTCTAGACTTCTGGTGTTACAACTGATTTTGGTTTGGTGGCGGCTTGGTGGTACATTAGCCTTTATTCTCAGCTTCCTGATTCAGTCAGATGCAGGCAACATTTCTGCAAATCCTATGTATCCACAGGATTTCTCTGAAGTAATTGCCTTCTTTGGCATTGGGAGTTAATCAGTGGGTTAACACAGTCTAATCGCAATTATGCTTTTGCACTTTTTGCATTCTCAGCCACTTGCAAACCTATTTTGAATGAATTACAGGGTTAGTCAGATTATTAGAGCCACATCCAGTTCATTTTGTTTTTTGTTTTTTCCCTTCTCTTCGTCAGACTCTGGGTACCGCGGTTTAAAATTCTCTCCTCCAGCATGTGTTCTTCCAACCCTCCTATTTCCTGTGAAATGTTAATGACCACTAGATCCCGCTATCACTTTATCTGGGGTTCAGCCATACGGAGCGATGAAATTTGCTTATGCTCAGGGTCTTTTAAAAACACATTATTAGTGGTCATAAATAATGTTCAGGTGCATGAATATAAAACTTGACAAAATAAGAAACCCAGCCTCCTGGCTTTACTTGACTCATCATCAGCATTGTTTTTTAGCCCGAGGTGATGTACATCATGCAAAACCTCAGGACACTAGAGCCATATTTTTAGGCCCCTGCGCAGTGGTTCGCAGGTGGAAGCGTTCGTACCGTGGCAGCCTGGTTGAGAATCGCTGCTATGGATGCCCAGGTTTTGTGAGCACTTACGATGCCTGTAAAAGCCAAACTTGCCTCCTGTCTCTCCAGGCTAAATTCTTCCTCATCGCCCTCATTATCTTGTTTCTAGATTGCTGCCATTCTCCCCTCCTCCGTGTTTCTCACACGACAGCCCTCAGTCCATGACATGCCCAACCCAGAACTGCTAAGATCCTTTTCCTCACCCAGGCGGTTCTGCTCACCCAAAGCCCTAAAAAAATAGGGAGCTTGCTGTGAACTCCTGGTAGGGAATGCCACCTTTGAACCACCACGTGGAGCGAAGGGGATTCTCCGTCAGCACCCGGTGGTGACCAAGAGGGACAGACAGAAGCAGGGCAAATTCCAGTTATGCCAAAGTCCTGGGCGTTTTAGTGATGACAGATGCAGGTCTCCTGTAGCAGGGATATTGCTGGGGTCCTGTCTGCAGCTTATTTCTGTCCTCAGACTGAGGTGTCACAACAGCAGAAGTGAGCTAAGTGTGTTCGGAAGCTGGGATGAATCGGCAAGCGGAGCAGCAGCGGTGCTGAGCTGGCTCTGAAGTGGTGGCTTGAGCGGGGAAGCAGCCACGGCTTTCCATCCCTACTTCCAGCCAGTCCTACAGCTGAACCTGTCTACAATGGACATCTCTACACTGTGGAGGCGGTTAAAAGCTACATGAGATACGTGAGGGACTTGATTCTTTCAAAAAATCCAATAAGTCTGGCTCCAGCCAGGACCAGCAACCTCTGACTTTCCAAAGCACCCCAAAGGGGTGGCATACAGGTGCACTTAATTCACTCCTGGCTGCCTGCTGGGTCATTGGCTTCCTCTCCAATTCAGCCCTGGGATGTGACCCGGCAAGAACAGAAGGCTCTGACCATAACACAGTGAAATGCGTCCGTGTGCTGCAGTGAAATGCATGAAATCCATGTGTTGGATTCAAGACAGTGATCATATGGTCTACTTACAAGCTGAAGCTGCCCGGAAGACTTTCAGGTATGCCAGGACGCTCCATCCCCTTGATGATACCCCGGCTTGAGCATGAGCATGATCCCCTGGGCCGATACGCTAGTGACTGATGGAAAGGAGAAAGAATCAATTGTGAGATCAGGTGAGGTTTGTGGGGTCCCCTTTTACACACAAACTCCTTTATTATCTCTGCTCATTAGATCAAACAATCACCATTTTAATGAATGTTGCTGATGGTCCTAAAATAGGAGGCGGCTCAGACATCACCGAGGACAGAAAATGAATGTACAAGCCCGTAGAAATATTGGAGACTTGTGAGGGAGTTAACAGTGATGCAGAGCAGGATGACCCATATGAGGTGGAAGGGAAAATTGCACGTCGTTATTATTGAATATTTCTGAACACCAGCTTGGTCCTTTACAGCTTTGCCGTCAGCCACGCCGGACTCGGCATTTTTTTGATCCGAAAAAAAAAATGGAAATTTTCCCAGATCAGTTTTTCTTGAGATTTCTGCCTTTACCAGCAGTTGTTGTGCATCTTGAATGAAATCATGTTTTTGGAGAGGTTTGAATTATAGTCAAATGTACAAGCAAAGAGAACTTTCCCATGCAGCTAGCCAGAAGGGATCAATCACATAAAAAATAAAGGCAGCTTGTGTCCTGACAACGATGACGCTTGTGCCCTTGTCAAATTAGCGCAGCTGAACTTTGCTAACTTGCCATAACTGAACTCCGCCCTCCCTGGGCTTTTGCCCATCTGTGACGTGACACAGCATGAAGTGTCTCTGAAGGGAAGCAGAGTTCGACCGTCTCTCCCCCCGCTCTGTTATACCAAGGACCAAAACCTAAGCCAGGTGGTTTCGTCCCAAAAAAGCAGGAGAGTGAAAATTGATACACCTGTGTTTGAACGTATTTGACAGGTAAGGTGCTTTTTAAGCCTCAGGTCTTTGTGACTGCTTGGCTCTTAACCAGCGAGTCAAATCTGCTGGGTAAATGCACATGCAGGAAATGGCTACGTTACGTGGGAGCTCAAAGTGAAAGTTCAGTCAATTCCAGCAATGCTTTTTTCTCCAGCCACGAGCTGCCTTTTCTTTTCACTCATCAGCTTAACTCTGAACACCATCTGACGTGTTCAGATGCCGCAGTGAAGGGTGCTGGGGAAATGCTCACAAATGACAGAGAAATTAGGAAAAAGAGGTGCTATGCTTGGATTCGATTGTTGCAAGCACTAAGTTTTCTCTGCTTGTATACAACAAAGTCATCGTTGTTCCCATAACTTTGAAGCAAAAGCGGCAACATTGCTATATTTTCCTTAGCAGGAAATGTTTTTTTCTGCTTTGACCAAAAGGGAAACAAAGGGAGGTGAAAGTAGGCTGACAACTGAGACAATGCATCCCTGTGTTGTTAAAGCCCTCCGGGGCTGGCAGCAGGCTGTGCCCTGGAAAACACAGCTCTTTTAGAAAGCAATCGAGTCTTCAATCCTGCAGAAGAAATTTGAAATCACTCACAGCTCCGGTACCACATAGCAAAGATTAGTACGTGGGCAGTTGGCAACACCGAACGTGACAGCTCCCTTTTCCATGCATTTCGTTTTCTGATACCGACTGCTTGTGTCTTAGTTGCGGGAATTGTATACTTTGTGTTGCTCTTGCTTTGCATTTTCCTTCTTTCCTTCCCTTTCTCTCAGATGATGGGCAAGACATCCCCCATTTTGCTGGACATTGATATCATAATCGTGTCTGGTTTGAATGCTTATACGCTAGGGGAAGTAACATTTAAACATAAATGAAAATTGAGGTGGCGATGCCTCTATTCTGCTTCTAGTATTTACTAGCAATATTTTATAACTACATGTTTACTGGACATATAGGGAGAATTTTAAGTTCAGATTGTCTACACTGCTTGGAGCCTGTGGGATCAATAATCTGCACTATAACAATCTTTTTGAATCTTATGCTCTGAGTTAATTGATTCAGACTCTTTGGAGCTCAGGTCTACCACTGCCCACTCCAGCTTGACCCCAAAGTAACTTTTTTGAGCCTCAGCTCACTTGTAAAATGGGAATAATTCTGCTCCACTCCTGGATTTTTTTCTATATAGGTTGTAAGCCCTTTTGAGAAGGACTTCTGTGTTACATGTATGCACAAAGCCCCCAGAACAGCTGGGAACCCAAGACACCACTGTAAAACAAATGTTTAAAAATAATGTTTGTGCAGTGGGAAAATATACTAATGGATTCATCCATTTCTAAGACTTATACTTACCAAGCTATTCTTTGGTCTTGGCTTCGCAAGGAGCGGCCTCGTTTTGAACAGGTAGTCAGGAAAGGAGCCCTGGTACAACAAACGTGGTGACAACCACCCTCAACATAATCAGTTCTTTTCTAGTCCTTTTGCAGGTACCATGAACATCCAGGAATATTTCACCAGAATTTCTTACAAAGGCCCCAGTGAAAACCTGGACTTGGAGACCTTAACTGCAATCCTCCAGCACCACATCCGGGCTGTGCCCTTTGAAAACCTCAGCATCCACAGCGGGGACACCGTTGAGCTGGAGTTAGAACAAGTTTATGACAAAATAGTGAGGAGGAAACGTGGTGGCTGGTGCCTAGAAAATAACCAGCTGTTATCCTGGGTTTTGAAAACACTGGGCTATAATCTCACTCTTTTAGGAGCAAAAGTGTTCAGCCCAGAAAATAATGCATATGCTGATGAAAATAATCATCTTCTTCTCAAAGTGGTCCAGGATGGGAAATCCTATATTGTGGATGGAGGCTTTGGCATGGTCTATCAAATGTGGGAGCCCATGGAGCTAATTTCTGGGAAAGACCAGCCCCAGACTCCTGGCATCTTTCGATTCCTGGAAGAAAAGGGGACCTGGTATCTGGAGAAGAGCAAAAGGAAGGCATACATTCCCAACCACAGTGACGCTAAGCCTGACCCTCTGCAAGCAAGTGACTGTAGGAAGATTTATGCTTTTACCCTTGAACCACGAGAAATAGAAGATTTCAGGGTTCAATGTGCGTATCTCCAGACATCCCCCAATTCTATTTTTGTAACAAAGTCCATCTGCAGCCTCCAGACCACTGACGGGATCCGGGCATTAATTGGGTGGAAATACACCGAGATAAAATTCAATTTCAAGCAGAACATGGACCTGGTAGAAACCACAATTCTTCCCAATGAAGAGATAGAGAAGACACTAAAAGTTAAATTCAATATAACTCTCGATAAGAAACTTCAACCAGTGAATGCAGGAGGCAGGTCGTCTATGTTTTAGAGTCTTGACCAGAATATAGTCCTGTGCTGGAATATCAAACTGAATCTCTCTTAGCATTCAATGAATTGGGAAAAAGAACACCTGGACTGCTGCTTTTTACCTTGCATATTGTAGAGGGTAGCATATAGCATATACAGGGTGACCATACTTCCCAGTCTGGCCGGGACAGTCCCTGATTTCATAGGCTGTCCTGGCCAGTTGGCTAAAATTGAAGCAAATTCCCATGTCGGATGGAGCAGGGTGGGCTGTGGGAGGGGACTGGGGCTTGGGCATCTGCGTGGGGCAAGCCAGGATGGCTGCCCGCTGCTGGCAGCCTTGCACTCTGCTTCTGCAGCCACTCCCGAGGCCTGGGCTGCACGTGGTGGCCCTGGGGAGCTGCTGGTGGCGGGGAGGAGGCGCCGTGTGGTGGTGAGGGCTGGTGGAGCCCAGGGGGTGCCCAAGAGGGGCCACTACTAGCCTCTGCATGGAGGGGATGGAGCCTGGATGTAGGACTCTGCACTATCCCACCCTGCCCTGCCCCAGCATCAGGGCTCCTGGGAGCCAGGGTCAGAGGTGGGAGGGACGGGATGGGACGGGGTGGGGGGGACAGACCCTCTCCCAGATTTCCTTCAAATTAATATGGTCACCCTAAGCATAAGGCACTGTGATTTGCAGACCTGTACTCCCCTCTCTTCTCTTCATCTTACTCCAGATAGGAATCCTCTCTTCCAGATCTCTGCCAGTAATAGATTGCTTCTCACTCACTGGGGCATAACGTACATACGCCCTAAAGGAGTGCTACATTTCTGCTTAAATATAATAGCTGGAGAACCAAGGGCATTCTGAGATTAGGGTGCAACAGTCTGTCCTGTTTTGCACATGCATAAAGATAAGGTTGTTCTCTCCATACACACAAAACACCTCACTTGGGACACGCTGTTGGAAGTATTTACATGCTGATGACATGCAACTATGAGATGGCCATGGTTACCACAACTTGAATTGGTGAGGGAAGTTTCTATTCTGCTTCTGGCTCCTCACGCAACCTCTGGGCTTTTGAGGATGTAGCCACGAAGGGGGACCTCTGAGGAAATGCAGAGGTATGGCTCACATATTTTTGCAACGGCTCTTATAGACCTCCATCTCTTCGCTATATTACTCATACTCTGAATGTCATTGGACTATAACAAATCTGTCTCCTGACTCCAAATCTGGCGACTGGTCTGGATTGCATGAGCAGGACTCACAGGCCAGGCACCTGACAGGCAGTAACGTAAATAGGATGGGGTGCTGATTTAGAGAGATGCAAGAATAGTGAGCAGCAAACAGAGTCTTTGTGATCCCACAGTCTGCTAATTGTCAAGTAAGACCAACAGTTCTCAAACGGGGTCTCACAAGATACTTTTAAGGGCAAAGTGCAATGTCTGTACTGTTAGGTATGCAAACATCTACATGACACGCAGCGACTGTGGGGGGTGAGCTCCTTTATTGAACCCACTGCATGGGTGGGGTAGACCTTTGAAAGCTTGCCTAAGTCTATCCCAACTATGCACTGGGTTCAATAATAGATATCAAACCCTCCCCCAAATCCTAGCCTCTTGCTTAATTCCTAGATTATTTTAGCTACAACATCACTCCAGCACTACAAATACCTGCACATGGTTCACAAGATAAAACCCAAGGATTTCAAATGGGAATCCATAGAGTCAAAAACATTCTGCCCTGCTGTGGTCTTTCTGAGCTCTTTGAAACAGAGGA